TTGTAGGGAACAATCCAGCAACGATCCTCAGGAGATGGACCGGATGAGTAAATAAGTGACAATTTGAGACTCTGCTGGGGAGACAATTAGAGCTTGGTGGGAAATGATTTTCTCATCCTGCATAAATTTTCATGACATCAAATAATGCACAGCAGTCTCAGATATATGCCCCAGCATATATACATACAGAGGGTGAAACAGGAATTTAGCCTCTTGAGGCCTGATCCAAAGCCCAATGAAATCAATATGAATCTTTTCATTGACTTCAGTGGGCTTTGGGATTGGGCCTTTGGAAGCTACTGCAGAGGACTTGAATGGCCTGAAACAATGGAACTGGATAAGAAGGCTCACAACCAGACTAGTTCTGCTCTGCTGGCTGAATGACAACAGGACTAGTGTGGCTCAGTGCTTGAGGCACTCCAACAATGGCTTCCATTATTAGTTTGCAATTTAGCCCATAGTAAGGGGCAGTACATTGTTGCACTGCCCTGGGAGCAGCCTGGGAGGAGGACTGTCACTTGGGGAATCATAGGCTCCCTTCTGGTCTTCCTGCTGCTCCAGGGAGGGAATCAACTGTGAGGGGTCTATTGTAGTGTATGCCACCTGATGTCTTGGTGTAGCAATGCTGCTGGGTGCAATATGGAAGGTGGAGTCAAGGCGCCACCCACTCCCTGCCTCCTCTTTTCCCTTCCCACCAGCTCTGCAGAACCTGCTTCCTCCATGCACGGGAAGAGGTGGTGTGGTGCACTGGTGCTAGACAGTAATGAGGCACCTTTCACCCTTTCTACTTCCTTTTGCCAGTGGACAGGATGGACCACTATCCAACCCAATGATAGCTGTAAAAATATAAAGAAAAAGAGGGAGACCTCTCTGCAACTATATTGATGGAAGATTTTCAGGATACACATTTTTAAAGTCATTAACATACAAGATGCAGTGGTTGCCATTAAAAAGTCAACATTTCCCAAGAGTGAGTTACCACACAGTGTAATCTGAAATTATCACAGTTTCCCTCTAAATTTAGAACTGGTGATGTCTCAGTAAGGTTCCTGTATGGTAAAGACGGTCTACCCACACCCTGCTCCTCCCAACCACTGGTTAATTTTAACAGGTGAATGGATGAGCTAGGCAGCCACTGTACTGTGTCTGAATTTCCATCTACCATACGTTAGTTAACTGAAATCTTCTCACTATCATTTGACACATTTAGCATACTGTGCTTAAATCCTTTAAGAGCATTTGTTCTTTTTGACAATCTCATTTAGCTGCACAGATTTTTATTTTCCCTATAATTCATTTGACATCTGTGCCTTCATATTTGTAGTTAACCTTTTGGATGCCAGTATAAATCTATTTGTCTTACTGGAGTGTTTCTTATTTCTCAGGTGGATTTCTGTTTTCTTAACTACTTTGAGCACACGTTTTCTTGTAACTCACTTTTGGTTCATTCCAGTCCTCTGTGAGTCTTGTACTTATTAGTGTCCTGCCCCATTAACTGCTCTGGCTTCAGTTTCCATTTGCCATGATGGCTTTTTTGCATGTCCTGCTCTACTAAACTGTTGAACGCTCCAATTTGTTTCTCCTCCATTATTGCCTGTGGTGATTTGAATGTATTAATCAAAGTGAAAAGTCTGATCTATGTACATACAAGTCTTTCATGCAAGCTTGAATTCCCTGAATCTTTGCCATAAAAGAGTCTGTGCTGTTTGATGGCTTCCCACATTAGCAATTCTATTTCCTGTGGTAGAAAATTAGGTTCATTCCTAGCTTGGAAGGAGTCACTTTGGAGCAAATCCTCTGCTACTGGACTTCAACAGAGCTATGTATGTACACAATGTACACCAGCTGAGGAGCTGCCCCTTTGTGTCTCTGGATTCACATGATCTTGCAGTTGTAGCAGGAACACCATGCCCAACAAAAATACCAGTCAAAATCAGATTTGCAACAATAAAAGGATGAAAATAAGATGCTTCAGGAGTTATTCTTTTTTTAGAGACCATCCTGACTTGTAAGTGTCCTTGAGAGAGCGAGCACTACATGTATTGTGGACCCTGTTTATAGCAAACTAGTTGAATATCCATTTAAATTCAATATGAGGAGATACACCATGACCTCACAAAGTACTAAGCATGCACCTCTCATAGCCTACTCTATTTTAGCTAGTGTTAAAAATACTTAGCCTTCTAAACCCTTAGCAGCTCTTAGGTCTACACTTAAGTCATGTTCTTTGTGTGATGAGAAAGCACAGCATTGCTAATATCATAGTGCATCTGATGAACTGAGTAATTAATCTGTAGTAAAACCTAAGAAGAAAGAGTTTTGAAAGCAGCATAAAGAAAGTTGTTCAGTTACCTTTAGTGACCTTTAACTGCATACACCAACGATCTGTTCATTGATAAGTGGTTCTCAGGTGCTTTGATTCCAAGCTAAAATAAATAAGAAGTGAAAATATGCAAAAAACAAAACAAATAAATGAACATAAAGAAAAACCACCAAGCAGGCATTTACTGGCATCCCAACCTTCTTACATCTTAGACCTGTCATGGATCAATTGCTAGAGAAGGGAACCTCTTAGTCAAAACTAGAGTTGGTAGAAAAATGAAAAAATAGTTTCATGAAAAAAATGCAATTTTTGACGAGTTTGAAATCAACCCATTTTATATTAAAAAAGATACTGAATTTTTAATTTTGTTCTCAATTTTTTTATTTAAAATTTGATCAAAATGGTTATCAACATATTCTATTTACTAAAAATCTGGTTTTCAAGAAATGAAAAATGGCAGGAAACTTTTTGGCAACATTTTTATATACGTTTGATAAATTCAGCTGAAAATACCAGAATTTTGTTTTTGCAAAAATAAGAAAAATGTTGATAGTACTGACAATTTTGCATGAAAACATTTGTTTTAAGAAAAAAGGTTATTTTATAATGAAAAAAATATTTTGTTCAAAATACGTTGTCCAAAACTAGTCTACAGTCTTGCATACTAGCATGTATAAACCGTGACCAAATATGTTGGAGGCTCCTATAACACATTTGAATGAGGTATGTAAGCAAGCATTGACACCGTATTAGAGTGAAAGCACAGTAAAATCTTTTAAACAAGCAGGCACATAAAAGCTTGCATAGCATAAACCTAATTGTCCATAAATTGCTAAGGGTAGTAATTACATAAGTATGAAATGAGGAATGATAGTAATGAGGAATTAATAAACTCCTGGCTTCTGATTCAGTGAACATGAAGATTTATTGGCCTGAGAATTAGATATTGACTTGACACAATGTAGAGGTCAATTTTTACCTCTTGCACTAAATCTTCATATTCACTGAACCAAGAAATCAAAATATTGTCTCATTCAAATATGTTATCACCATTTTTAAAGACTGGCTGCAATCCTATATCTCTGAATGAGCTCGCAGTAAGAATTTTTTTCAGTTTCCATTAGCCTTTTAAGGTTAGAGGGTTAGAAAACTTATTATTCACCTTGGGCCTAAGTCTGTCTCACTTATTCATACTGGTCACAGGGTACATTATGCCATGAGCAATTCGGTGGACTTCAATAGGTCTATTCTCAGAATAAGGTGCTACTCAATATGAGTAAAGGTGGCAAGATATGACAGCCCACAACAGCAATATTCTTGACCTTCAAAGAACAATGGAAACTTAGTGACAGATTTTCTAAAGAGCTCAGCAAATACTTAGGCACATAAATAAGGGGCAGTTTTATAGAGCTGAGAACACAGAGAACAATGGGGGCTGTTGGTGCTGCCTGCTTGAAAACCTGGCCTTGAGTGACTCATCAGTTTTCAGCCAGCCGAGACAATATTTTCTTCTAGTATGTAATATGAATTACATCATTAGTTAAGTTACCCGAGAAGTATTTTAGCTTTCCACTCTTAGCACATTGGGTATTGGGCCTATATTACACTAAATAAGGGTCCTCTATTCAGGGGCACCATAAAAGTGTGTGGGGTTATAAACCATATGAGATAAAGTCCGTGGATATGACTGGTTGACATAAGGACGTAGAGCCATATTCTGTCACCCTTACTACAGCATCGAGTCATATCTTATTCCATGAGTACTTCCATTAAAGACGAAGGTGAAGTCCATGGGACCCACTTTCATGAATCCTTTTCCTCTTCTTGTTTCTTCTATCTCCCTTCTGCTACTCTATGAACAGTACATTGTTAAGTGGAGGGATTGCAACAAAAAGAAAATTCTTAGGGACAAATGCAAAAATTACGAGTGAAATCCTGGCTCCATTGAAGTCAATGGCAAAACTCCCATTGACTTCAATGAGCCAGGATTTTACTGTATGTCTTTAAATGTTTCTATCTTTGAAAAATACTGAACCACACAAGAAAAAAATATTACCTTTGGGTTGCATCCAGTCATGGAACATGCCATCCCCAAAGGAATTGGTTTGAGAAAGTCGTAATTACTGAAGTAGGTGTTTGAAGGGGGGGGCGGGGTTGGTTTTCACCACTAACTATGGTGCTCATTATCAGTGCACACTGCACTATCCATCAAATCCTATTTGTACAATTCAAATGAATATTAAGGACCAAATTCTCCTCCTCAGCGTGTACATCCTCTCCCACAGCTGTTTTGTCTTGTCCTCTTTCAGGCCGTTTTCTGCTGCTTATAATGAAATCACCCTTGCTGCAGTCATCCCTATTTTGTGTAATAACTCATCTGTGCCTGAGATTTTCATTCTTATAATTAAAAAAGGAAAACAAAGAGAGAGTGCCACAAAAGCAACTGGTGAGGCATACATTTATTGGATTTTATATTATCTGGAGATTTTCCTTCTTTAGGGTTAAATAGGGCCTGATTCTCTGATACTTTAAGGTGTTGAGTAACCCCAGCAGGGTGCTGGGTGCCCTCAACTCCCACTGAATTTAGTGGGGAACCCCTTTCAGGATTGATCCCACAGAGAACAACTGTGAATAATTGCATCCCCCAGGATATATTTTAAAGAGGACAAAATCAAAATATTTCCACTGGTGTCTTTTATTAAGTAATGCAAAATACAGTACTAATTATGACACTTCATGCATTTTAGACAATATAAATGCAAGCCTACAGAAAATATGTGACCAAGAAACCCTCAATTACTTTGAGGTAGTATACAAGGGAAAGTAGGAAAGCAGAAACACAATGGAATAAAAGAAGAAAATAACTGTATTATTTTGTGTGTACATTTTTCACTCAAATACATTTGTATGAAAGAACTTAGGGTTCATTTCTGTTCTCATTTAAAAATATACTTTTTTAAATTCACCATTTTCATACACTTCAGCTTCACTTGACACAGAGTTGATGGTATCTTATCGAGTGGGTTTGACTTTTGTCATCACAAGGATGATTTTACCCTCTTCCTCCAAGAGTACAGGCACTGATGGCCTCATGCACAAAAATAAATAAGAAACCTGCTTGAAGGAAAAAGGTTGCTGCTCAAATAGCTTAGATTAAGGATAATCTAATAAATACCATTTTGATTATAAAAATATTTCAGGTTTATAAAAGGGGGGAAAGGATGGTCTTCCAGGGGGAAAGGATGTTGTGTGAAAAATGCTGTGCAATGGTTTTGTACAGATTGTTGTTTTAAACATACAGTACCATTTTGAATATATACTTTATAATAATCCTGTTTCTTAGAACCTTGTCATTCAAAAGAAATGTCAAACGTTGTTTGTTTTTTTCTTATTGCGGTTTTGGAAGCTATTTAATTTAGAAGGGTTCCATATAACTGTGCTTTTGTAAGACTGTCCTTCCGACTCAAACCCGTACTCCCAGTCCGTTGAAACTGCTGCTGTTTGCTGTGAAGACCTGAATGGCTTCCTTGCTCCTTGGAAGACTGATGGATCTCTGAAGCCTCCATTGAACTCTGATTGAGGGATTCTGCTGAGCTGTTTGGGCTTACATCAACGTATTCTCTTTTCAACACGGGGCTACTCTCGATATTTTTGCTACTGCACAACTGCATTGTGATCCTGTCATTTTTTGGGTCTCTTGGTTCTTTTGTTTTGTAAGAGGGCAACTTGTCCTGTTTACAGCTAGTGCAGATGTCAATGTTCAGGCCACTGTCTGTTCTGAGGAAGCAAGAATCCACAAGTCTATTTGGACAGATATCTTCTCCCTCTGAGAAGCTATCTCCTTTGTAACCAACATAGATGGGGCTTGTTCGGCTCTCTGTTTTTTTTACAGGGCTGCTGTAGTACTGCTCCGAAAAGCTACAGGGTGATAGTCTGCCAGCATTCCTATAAGAATATGCACCAATGTCCTCTACGCTCAGCTGCCTCCACCGCCCGGGTAAGTCTTCTTCTGAAAGATGGGTGCTCATGCAGTCGTTACGCATTTTCTGAGTTGCCAATGCCTGTTGCGTCGTTATGGCTGAGAAATGAAAAGGCTCATTAGCATAAGGTGGCAGAGTCCTAGTAAAAGTGGGAGAGTTCTCATTGTTATCAGCAAGTTCCATTTGCTGTACGGACTTCGACTTGGCAAACCTAGGACTTCCCTGATGTTCATAACTAGAACATGACTTTCTTTCAAACATTTCATCTCTGCTGCCCAGGTAGATTGCTTTCTGGGAGGCAGTCAGAGTGCTGGCCTGGGCATTCTCTTTTTCCTCAGAGGTAACGCTGAAACTGGAGTAGGAGCTTGAGGTTGGTAAAGAGGTAACATATTCCGGGAAGGCTTCATGAGAGAAGCTAGAATGGAAGCCATCTTCTTCTACAGTGCTGTCAGTAGAGTTCTGGGACCTCAAAAACCCCACATCTTTTACTTGCATATCAACACTTTGTCTCCTCTCCCTCCTCCTCTCCTCAGGGCAATAAAGGGCAGTGTCACTGCAGTAGATGTCAGACTTATATTGGGGCCTTTGGCCAAGCTTCCCAACAGAATCTTGAAAAGAGTGATCCCTTGCAGATTTACTTGACAAATGTGAAGACAAGCTGTTTGGGTCTGGTTTCTCCAGTACCTTAGCGATGACGCAAGTTGGTATGTTGTCAGCAAATGATGTGTGACACAAGGGTACAGAAAGGCTGCATCCGTGCTTTTCCAGATGGAGGCTGACTCTCTCCTGAAAGTCAGATGGCAGCTGTAACATAGAGAAGTGGTAGGGGGAAGGAAAATAGGAAGAAAGTCATTAATGGTGTCTAGCTGCGCTTATGGAACACAGGTGAATGAGTGGACTAGACAGTATTATTTATTTCAGTGTGTACAAGGTGTAAATCATTGTAGCTCCATTGATGTCAATGAGCTGTGCCAGTTTATACCAACTAAGAATCTAGCCCTTGGATTCTTACTTGACCCCCAAACACTGAACCTTTTGAGATTCACCCATCACTATTCACCCATACTTTTTTACAACCACGACCAAATACCAGAAATAAAATTCTTCTGCTCCTTTATATCAGTTATACAGTGGTCACTCTTAAAAGCTTACCAGTTGCATTATATCATTACATAAGGTCATTACTAAATAAATAGCTGTATTTCCTTCAGTAGCATAAAGAGTACTGCAAATATTGAAGTAAGCATCCCTATTACTTTATGGCAAAAAGCTTTTAAGGGTGAGCACTGTGGATAATGATTCCACATTGTATAATATATAGTTCCTCATTTTCCAGCTTCACTTGTGAGCTTTTATACTTGGTTTAACCCAGAGACCTTAAAGCATTCAAAATATGATGTGATGTGAAATGGCAAGCCTGTTAGTTTGGCGTAAGATGACCGTCCTTTTTAATCTATACACCTTTCATGATATTTTAAGTTAATTCACATGTTGTTAATTTAATCCATGTATCCTCCATTTGAAATAAGGTCTGTAATATTGCTGTTACTCTGGCAGATAGAAATATTAGTAATAGTAATTACAGATGCAACAAAGATTGAAAGAACAAGTTGTAAAATAAGATCATGTAAATCACCATAAAGGTGTGGTTATTATTGCAAAAGAAACGGATCATTTAGCGTGAAACTACTATGCTGGATAGGTGCCATTTTTGTGAGAGCATACTGCAATAATTACACTACTGTTTGATCTATTTTATGCATTATTTATATATTTATATCCTGAAGTATTTTAAGGAAAAAAAGAACTATTGACCCCTTTTTGGCTATCATTCACTGAGGCTGGAATTACTAAAACGGTATTGATATCATGTTAGTGGTACGCCATACCACAGCTCACATTCTTGTGTCATCTAAAATTGCTTGTTCATGGATTTGTCAAGGTATTCAATGTTTTGCAATGAATCCATTTATTTCATCTTTTTAAAGAAATAATTGTTCCTCACAATATACTCAGAGTTGCTGAGTAATAAATGCTTGCAGTGATAAATGGAATATTTGCCTCTTCAGCTGAATAGATGACAGAGCTTTTGGAAACTAGGAGGGAAAAAACAAACAAAAACCCAACTAACCAACCAACAAAGCCTCCACCACAACACACCACCCTGGATACTTTTCAGTAAGTGTTGGGTATATGTGGGGCCCAGACCTGGAAATGCTTGGGACCATATACAGTGCTTACCACATTGTTCTCAGCTGCAATCATTTGCAGGATCAGGACATTGGAGAATTTGGAAGCTCTGCCTCTGTTCCAGTAAATCATTGTCCTTATTGACCAGACAGCCTCAGTTACCAGATGTATTTAATATCTGTCAGCATTATACTGATATTGAAATAGTGAGTACATTTAGTATTTAGTTTTGCGCTAGTCTATCAAAGAACTGCATAAATGAGGCAATTTGAGAGCACTGTGCTAATGAAACTGCTAGAAGAAGTTGGTGTGTTAGTAGCAATAACGTCTGCCATACAAACATACATCTTGGCGGTGCTGCCCAGTGTAAGACCGTTCCAAAAGTTGGTCTAGAAAAAGACCAATCTCCTGCATTGAGATACCCATCCATAAGAATGAAGAATAGACCGGTAAGTGCCTGATCCAGTGCCTGTTAAATCCCATTGATCTCAGTGAGAGTAGGATCAGGCCGACAGTGTCTCAGAGGTCATGAGATGATTTAAAACCCTGGGGTGAAATCCTGTCACCACTGAAGTCAATGACAATCTCATTGACTTTAGTGATTGGGGCCAGGATTTCACCTTAGGTTGTGGGCATGTGGCTAAATGTTCATATTTTTTTCCTTATGTTTTGCTATGATTTGTTCCATGCCATGACACAAATACAGCCCTAATCATGATTTTTTTAAACCATTTGCCTCAACTTGAAAGGGTCAGTTTCTCTAACTTCTGCTGCTTGGAAAGTTTAGGGATAAGTCTAATTTAACCAAAGTTTACACTCTGGAAATCAAAGAGGGTTTTCTGTTTGCCTTAGAAAAAGATATCCTTTCCCATTAGCTTGTTTTAAAATTGATTTTTGGAATATAGTTGCAGGTGCTGGGAAATAGCTTAATGGGGAAAACTGATCCTGGAAAGACACCTTGATGGAAAGACACCTTGATGCCAGCAGGATCTCATTGTTTCTTTTATCATTTTACATTATAGTGGCCTGAACATTCTTAGCGCTTTGATTATGCTAACATTTTTCTTTTTGCACAAGATCAATGCAGGCCCATTTCAATCCATACCAGCGCTTTCGGAAAAGAATATATCATCCATTTCATCTGAAGCTGGGATTTTGTTAACAATTCCCTCAGCTGAAGTGGTGTTGGAACAATTTGTATAGTGGGGGTGCTGAGAGCCATTGAACAAAACTGTAAATCCTGTATATGATGGAAACCACTTCAAGCCAGGGGGTGCTGCCGTGCCTTCAGCACCATTAGTTCCAGCACCTCTGCTCAGCTGTACAGAAAACCAACAGATATATACATCCCTTTCTGTTTCTTAAAGGAGAAAAAAATCAGAGCTATAAAGGCAAACAGGTTTGGGGATTGATCACGCATGAATATTCTGTTTTCCAAGAAACATTATTTCTTTGCATATTCATTAAGTTTGATCACATTACCTCAGAAAGCTTATGTGCCCTGTCGTAATTCTTGCTGCCCTGGAGCAGCTGAGCAGCTAAATTGCAGTCCTTTCTATAGAGCTCCTAAAAAACAAAAAAAGCCTGATTTTTATGGCTTGCAACTAACCTAAGGCTTTGATTCTTGTTCCCATTTCTGGACAAACTTTGTATGTTTTACCCTGGGAAAATGCAGAGCAGATTTTATTTTTCTAATTCATTAGGTTTCTGTTTTTCTTACATGCTCCTGAAATGTTGCTTTCCTGGTTGTCAAAGGAAATGTTGGAGGGAAAAATGGACCAGAAAGAGAAATTTTAAACAGTATTACCTAAAAAACACTAGTCTGCAACTTAGCGTATTGGGTGAATACTTACCATGGGGAACTCAGCATTACATAGTAAGCATGCCTGAGAGACTGAGTTCTATAATAAAGGTGAACTCTACAATGAAAAGGAAATTTGACTTAAGCATAAATATTCTGTACTGAATATCCCTCCAAATCACATACCATTTTAGAGATACTTAGAATAGTCTCCTCAGGTTGTAGGGGGGAATTCATCATAGATATTGTTTTAACGTTTTTTTAAAATTTTTGTTGTCTCTTTCTTCCTTGTGTGAATTCCCCTTGGTACTTCCTGGTTCACTAAAGATATCCCAAAATGCCTCATTTGGTGACATCAAATACTATGGCTTGCAATGAGACTTAAAATATTTGCAATTTCGTTGCATTCTGCATTACATTTAATGAACCAGAAAGTAGCAAGAGGATTTGCTAATGTAGTGCCAATCTTTAAAAAAGGGAAGAAGGAGGATCCTGGGAACTACAGGCCAGTCAGCCTCACCTCAGTCCCTGGAAAAATCATGGAGCAGGTCCTCAAAGAATCAATCCTGAAGCACTTGCATGAGAGGAAAGTGATCAGGAACAGCCAGCATGGATTCACCAAGGGAAGGTCATGCCTGACTAATCTAATCGCCTTTTATGATGAGATTACTGGTTCTGTGGATGAAGGGAAAGCAGTGGATGTATTGTTTCTTGACTTTAGCAAAGCTTTTGACACGGTCTCCCACAGTATTCTTGTCAGCAAGTTAAGGAAGTATGGGCTGGAAGAATGCACTATAAGGTGGGTAGAAAGCTGGCTAGATTGTCGGGCTCAACGGGTAGTTATCAATGGCTCCATGTCTAGTTGGCAGCCGGTATCAAGTGGAGTGCCCCAAGGGTCGGTCCTGGGGCCGGTTTTGTTCAATATCTTCATAAATGATCTGGAGGATGGTGTGGATTGCACTCTCAGCAAATTTGCGGATGATACTAAACTGGGAGGAGTGGTAGATACGCTGGAGGGGAGGGATAGGATACAGAAGGACCTAGACAAATTGGAGGATTGGGCCAAAAGAAATCTGATGAGGTTCAATAAGGATAAGTGCAGGGTCCTGCACTTAGGACGGAAGAACCCAATGCACAGCTACAGACTAGGGACCGAATGGCTAGGCAGCAGTTCTGCTGAAAAGGACCTAGGGGTGACAGTGGACGAGAAGCTGGATATGAGTCAGCAGTGTGCCCTTGTTGCCAAGAAGGCCAATGGCATTTTGGGATGTATAAGTAGGGGCATAGCGAGCAGATCGAGGGACGTGAGCGTTCCCCTCTATTCGACATTGGTGAGGCCTCATCTGGAGTACTGTGTCCAGTTTTGGGCCCCACACTTCAAGAAGGATGTGGATAAATTGGAGAGAGTCCAGCGAAGGGCAACAAAAATGATTAGGGGTCTGGAACACATGACTTATGAGGAGAGGCTGAGGGAGCTGGGATTGTTTAGCCTGCAGAAGAGAAGAATGAGGGGGATTTGATAGCTGCTTTCAACTACCTGAAAGGGGGTTCCAAAGAGGATGGCTCTAGACTGTTCTCAATGGTATCAGATGACAGAACGAGGAGTAATGGTCTCAAGTTGCAGTGGGGGAGGTTTAGATTGGATATTAGGAAAAACTTTTTCACTAAGAGGGTGGTGAAACACTGGAATGCGTTACCTAGGGAGGTGGTAGAATCTCCTTCCTTAGAGGTTTTTAAGGTCAGGCTTGACAAAGCCCTGGCTGGGATGATTTAACTGGGATTTGGTCCTGCTTCGAGCAGGGGGTTGGACTAGATGACCTTCTGGGGTCCCTTCCAACCCTTATATTCTATGATTCTATGATTCTATGATTTCACACTGAGGAGAAATAAATGGGTTAGTTATGTTCTTTCTGTGCTGATTGGCTCGTTCAGCCTGTTTAGTGGGGGAATCCAGAACAGAAATCTGTGCTTAACTCCATATTCAGTCTTGCTTTGTACTATTTTAGCACACGACTATCCTCTGATGCAGCATCTATAGGGCCACTGATATACAACCTATGCAATGTTCCACTCTGTTAAGGTGTGATTACTGATGAAGCTTATTTTCAGAAGTAAGCCTTATAGTTGTGCAAAGATGTGTCACAGAAAGGATTAAGAACCCTACAGACGCCAGGCCATGCAAAACTTGTAAACATTTTATAATGTTTAGAGAGAAAACATATTTGTGACTAAAACAGCTTCATTTGTTTTTCTGGGTGCTAATTCTGTAATTTCATTGCACGCAGACTTCTCCTTTCTATTTATTCTCTTAAAAAAACGTCAATTTTCTATAAAAGAACAAGGGGGAAAAGTCTCTTTTCTGAATACCTCTTTTGAGAAAATATAGCTAATATGCAGAATCAGTTCCACAAGAAGCTCCTGGGATCACCTTGCTATGAATGTGGGAAAAGCCAAAGTAGATTTTCTTTGGTCCTGTTGGATCTACATTGGCAGACTCAAATGCCCTTAAACAATATTTGCAAACTATGGTGCTTTATTTTATTTGGCTTTCTATATACCTCTCACTTTCTACCTCAAATATATATATATATATATATATATATAAACAACAGTTACCAGGTAATTCTGTTTTTAATTGGATGTTAGTGACTCAGACCCTGACTCTGGAAAACAGATGCAAACAGTAGGAATCCAAACATTTAATTTAAAAACAAAATCTCTGTTGCATGTGCATATGGTTCTGGCATATTTTACGTACGTATCATACTTCCAGCATATTGCTGCACAATATAAAACCAAAGACAGCTACTTTAGATTCCTAATGGCACAATTTGGCACTCAAGAATGAAATCGTTCCTATGTCTCATCCCTTATTTCAAGACTGGCTGCTTTACTGTCTGTGAAGACATGGCCATAGAAAGTGTAGAACACATTTTTGAGACTTTTTTTTATATTAAACATCTTCAAAAAAATGTATGAAGAATGTATGTAGAAAATTGCATTAGTTGAATGTAGTGGATGTACCTTATCCCCAGCATGATGGGATACACTATCTGACTGGGATCAATCATCTCTTTGAATACAATATTAATCTGGATGCGAACAAGCCAAGAGTGCAGCAAGTAGAGCAATAATCAATAAGTGGCATCGGAGGGTGTCTCATATTCCACCACATATTTTCTGAATTTAAGGTATTGTTCACTAGTGATCCCCATAGTGTGGGGGGAAATATCATCCATTTAAGAAATGTCAGCAGGGCAAAGGATACGCTCTTTGTCTCATAAGGTGCTCAACAGCTTCTCTAGTTAACAATTATGTATAATATGGAAGATCTATGTGGTAGTTCTTGAGCACAGTACACTGGACCAAATTCATCCCTGAGGTTCACCAATGCAGCTCCATTTCCAGAGGGCAGGATTTTGCCCAACGTGACTCCTCAGGTATGAGGAGATGAGTACAGGCCTCAGTCTTGTCTGGGGCCTATAGGCTCTGATATAATACAAATACTGAATAATAATAGTGATAACAACAACAACAGCTTCTTGGAGGATGCTCCATATTCTAGTTCAATCCAATATGACTATTTTTAAATCACCACAATTGAAAACTGCAATTGGTTCACATGTGGGATCAAATCCTGCTCTCATGCAATCCCATGGATGTCAGTGGAGTTGCAGGGGTATAACTGTGGGCAGATGTTTACCCAATTTCATTTATACCAGTGTAAATCTGGAAAAATTCCATTGACTTCAGTGGAATTACACCATATTTACATCACTATACTTGTAACCAGAATTAAGCCTATTGCACTTACAGGGTTCTTTTAGTTACAGGTATTAGAATAGTGGGAATAACAAATTTATTCCATTTTTCTGACACCCTTATTGCGGTACAAATTAAGGGCCAGATTTTGAACTCCTTGCTCCCATTAGTAAGATGTTACTTGTATGAGTGGTCCTATTAAACTTAATGGGGCTATTTGTGGAATAAGATACTCTCAAATATGACTAAGGGTTCATAAGTACACATATGGGACCATACAAGAATGTCCTAAAAAGACTAGAATGCCTTCTCTAGTATAAGTATTATTTTTAATATCTCCATCTGGGGAGTGGGATTATAATGAACTAAACACATGCAATCTGTCTGTCTCTGCCAGATACTTTGAAGTTTGTACAGGAGAACAATTTCATGAGCTTGTTTGCCAGTTTCAAAATGCATGATAATTTTCAGCAATATTTAATGAGATGCATGACAGTTGCAAAGGACATTTCATGTTTCATTTCATACAGAGATAGGTACAACACTACACCATGAGCTAGCAGGGGAAAACCTAAATTCTGGGTCTAAGGTGGGTCAATCCTGCAACCATTCCTTGTGCGAACAGCGCTTACTAATGCTAGGAGTCCCATTCCAATGAGTAAGGATTGGCTGATCTGATCCCTTTTGTGAGATGAAAAGATCAAATGAAAGGTAGCAACATTTAGGGCCATATATCGAGACCATAATCATCTGTAGAATTCTCTTTGATGCTCATGTGCAATGCAGGACCTTCACCATACAGTACCAAGGGACATATGCTTCCATCAGTCTGCCCAGTGACCTCCGCTGAATCTTACATAAAACCCAATAGCAGAATAACACCTTTTAAAAGTATTTAGAAAGCTGCATTATAGCTTTGTTTAAATTTAATGTCCCTAAATCCTTATAATTTTTTGCATAGAGGAAAAACCTGAAGGAACAGTCACACCAACACAGTAACTGAATTGTAAGAAAAGCTAAAATTATACAGTGAAAGAAATTCCAAACATAGTAATGTTTCTGATCCTAGAATTGACAAGTCACATTTACTGTAAATAATAGGTAAGGATTCTATAATTACATATAAAATGTATTGCCTAATTCACTTTCACACATAATCTTGAGACGTATCCATAATTAAATACTTACATTATCTTCTGATAACTTATCTATTGTCACCTTGGCTTCTATTAAATGATTATTGAGCGCTATTATTTCATGGCTTAAAGCCCTTTTTTCCTCTTCGTAATGTTGACCCTGTGTATAAAAAATGGATTGGTCAGTATTTTTTCCCCCTGTGATATAATTCCTGAAAAATACTCATAGCATGACGCCATTTTCAAAGCCAGAGGGATGCAAAGCATAAACCAAGTATGTTCCCTACTGGCTGCCAGATAAGCTGCTACTTTCACTCAGCACACTAGGTGATCTGCTGTGTAAATATGAAGGCCAAATGTATTCAGAAAAAAAAATTTAGACAATGGGAAATAAATTGCAAATGAAAGACTATCTGGATTGATCATCCTCTACTATCCATAGGTTGCACTTGGGTTTCCAACCTGGAGAGGTGGATCAACCCTGGCTTTCACGCTAACAAATTCTCCAAAAAAAATGTTCCAATCACACCATTTTCTTCCATCTTCACCAAGCAGGAGGAGCAAATAGTCACAGAAAATAACAGGACCATTTACTTTTCTGGGAGATCCCAGAGATAGACAGATCAGGTTGTTTGTTTCTAAAGTTCATTTCCAAGGTGAGTGGTTTACCTGATGAGCGGAGAGTGGAACATCTGGAGTAAGAGAAAAAAATTTGAAATGATGGGAACTTTTTTCTCCCCACTTTCTTTTCTGTCCACTGGGCTGATCACATTGCAAGGATACCCATGATGTTTATAGCAACATTTTGTGATTGAAAACAAATCAGCACAAAAGATGAGGTGTAACTGGCCCGTAACCTATTGTGTCACCTCTTAATACTTCAGCATTTCTTCTACTATGTAGAATAAAAATACTATCTTAATTCTATAGATGGGGCACACAGATTAAGTGACTTGCCCAAAGCCACATAGATTCTGTGGCAGAGATGGTAACTGTGAACTCAGATTTCTGAGTCCCAGTCCAGTGGGCCTTTCGTCCTTCCTCACTAAGGCTCTGAGTCAAAGCCCACTCAAGGCAATATAGGTATGTCTTCACTGCATCGGGAGTGAGCCTTCCAGCCCGGGCCCACAGACTTGTGCTAATGGGGCTTGCGCTAGTGTGCAAAAATAGCTGTACAGACGGTGCTTTGACATTGCAGCTTGGGCTCTGAAGCACATCCTCCCTCTCCCCCCCGCCTCCAGACTTCAGAGCCCAAACTCCAGCCCGAGCCACAACAGCTACACACCTATTTTTAGCTCACTGGACTGAGTCCTGTTAGCACAAGTCTGTGGAGCTGGGCTGGGAGACTTTCCATTGACTTCAATAGACTATGGATCAGACTCTAACTCAGACAAAACTGACTTCAAAGTGAGCTTCGCCTGTGTAAGGACTGCTAGGTTAGGCTCTTGAAGTGGTGGGGTGAGAGATTCCAATCACAGGAAGTTAGCTCTTTTGTTGTGATCCCTTCAGCATAGCTGCCTGGGAGAAACATCCAAGACAAACCTGAGATGTTGGGTTGGGGAAACTGCTCCTTCACCAAAATACTGCTCACAGCAATTATCTAGTAAGATCTTTTTTAAAAAGCCACACAGCAAATCAGAATACCAAGCAAGTTAACCATTGACCTACTTCTTTTCTGCTTTGACTCCTCACTCTAGCCATGGGTCCAGGACCTGACTTTTCACTCTAGATTTCTTTTAAACACTTGTGAAGGATTTTCTCCAACAGGCAAACTGTATTAGATAGTTAAATTTCCCAAGTGCCATGTGTGTCAGTGTGACAGAGTCAAGGAAAAAAGAAAAGGAGTACTTGTGGCACCTTAGAGACTAACCAATTTATTTGAGCATAAGCTTTCATGAGCTACAGCTCACTTCATCGGATGCATACTGTGGAAAGTGTAGAAGATCTTTTTATATACACACACAGCATGAAAAAATACCTCCTCCCACCCCACTCTCCTGCTGGTAATAGCTTATCTAAAGTGATCACTCTCCTTACAATGTGTATAATAATCAAGTTGGGCCATTTCCAGCACAAATCCAGGTTTTCTCACCCCCTCTCCCCCCACACACACAAATCAAATCCGCACAGACACACCCCCGGAACCCCGACCTGGGATATTCTATCTACTACCCAAGATCCATAAACCTGGAAATCCTGGGCGCCCCATCATCTCAGGCATTGGCACCCTGACAGCAGGATTGTCTGGCTATGTAGACTCCCTCCTCAGGCCCTACGCTACCAGCACTCCCAGCTGTCTTCGAGACACCACTGACTTCCTGAGGAAATTACAATCCATCAGTGATCTTCCTGATAACACCATCCTGGCCACTATGGATGTAGAAGCCCTCTACACCAACATTCCACACAAAGATGGACTCCAAGCCATCAAGAACACTATCCCCGATAATGTCACGGCTAACCTGGTGGCTGAACTTTGTGACTTTGTCCTTACCCATAACTATTTTACATTTGGGAACAATGTATACCTTCAGATCAGCGGCACTGCTATGGGTACCCGCATGGCCCCACAGTATGCCAACATTTTTATGGCTGACTTAGAACAACGCTTCCTCAGCTCTCGTCCCCTAACGCCCCTACTCTACTTGCGCTTCATTGATGACATCTTCATCATCTGGACTCATGGAAAAGAAGCCCTTGAGGAATTCCACCATGATTTCAACAATTTCCATCCCACCATCAACCTCAGCCTGGTCCAGTCCACACAAGAGATCCACTTCCTGGACACCACAGTGCTAATAAACGATGGTCACAAACACCACTCTATACTGGAAACCTACTGACCGCTATTCCTACCTACATGCCTCCAGCTTTCACCCTGACCACACCACACGATCCATCGTCTACAGCCAAGCTCTGCGATACAACCGCATTTCCTCCAACCCCTCAGACAGAGACAAACACCTACAAGACTCTATCAAGCATTCTTACAACTACAATACTCACCTGCGGAAGTGAAGAAACAGATTGATAGAGCCAGAAGAGTTCCCAGAAGTCTCCTACTACAGGACAGGCCTAACAAAGAAAATAACAGAACGCCACTAGCCGTCACCTTCAGCCCCCAACTAAAACCCCTCCAACGCATTATTAAGATTTTCTACAACCTATCCTGAAGGATGACCCAACACTCTCACAAATCTTGGGAGACAGGCCAGTCTTTGCCTACAGACAGCCCCCCCAGTCTGAAGCAAATACTCACCAGCAACCACATACCACACAACAGAACCACTAACCCAGGAACCTATCCTTGCAACAAAGCCCATTGCCAACTGTGCCCACATATCTATTCAGGGGACACCATAACAGGACCTAATAACATCAGCCACACTATCAGAGGCTCGTTCACTTGCACATCCACCAATGTGATATATGCCATCATGTGCCAGCAATGCCCCTCTGCCATGTACATTGGTCAAACTGGACAGTCTCTACGTAAAAGAATAAATGGACATAAATCAGATGTCAAGAATTATAACATTCATAAACCAGTCGGAGAACACTTCAATCTCTCTGGTCACACGATTTCAGACATGAAAGTTGCTATATTACAACAAAAAAACTTCAAATCCAGACTCCAGCGAGAAACTGTTGAATTGGAATTCATTTGCAAATTGGATATAATTAACTAAAGCTTGAATAGAGACTGGGAGTGACTAAGTCATTATGCAAGGTAACCTATTTCCCCTTGTTTTTTCCTAGCCCCTCCCCCCCTCAGACGTTCTTGTTAAACCCTGGATTTGTGCTGGAAATGGCCCACCTTGATTATCATACACATTGTAAGGAGAATGGTCACTTTAGATAAGCTATTACCAGCAGGACAGTGGGTTTGTGTGTGTGTGTGGTGGGGAGGGGGGGGTGAGAAAACCTGGATTTGTGCTGGAAATGGCCCAACTTGATTATCATACACATTGTAAGGAGAGTGATCACTTTAGATAAGCTATTACCAGCAGGAGAGTGGGGTGGGAGGAGGTATTTTTTCATGCTTTGTGTGTATATAAAAAGATCTTCTACACTTTCCACAGTATGCATCCGATGAAGTGAGCTGTAGCTCACGAAAGCTTATGCTCAAATAAATTGGTTAGTCTCTAAGGTGCCACAAGTACTCCTTTTCTTTTTGCGAATACAGACTAACACGGCTGTTACTCTGAAACAGAGTCAAGGAAAAGGCTTCCATCACTATAGGCTCCGCGTTGTCTGATAATTGACAGCAGTGGGAGTTAGGTGTCCTGAGGGCACCGAACAAATAGCAAGGTTAATTATCTGGTTGTGGAGCAGGTGGCTACCATAAAAAGAGGTTATAAAAGCAGAGAGTGGCGAACTTTACATACTAAGCAGTGCTTCAAAGAAAAGCACATTCTAAAATCATCAAAGGGAACTTGGTTCTTGTTTTAAAAAATGTCAGGCTGACTGAAGCTCCCTTCTTATCAACAAACAGGGACAGGACAGGCAACGAGAGTCCAAGAGTCTCCAGATTGTGTCGGCTTCTTCAGACTGTCCCATCCCCCTGACCTGGAATGGTCATTTATGGGTAAAAAAGGGTAGTTCAGTCTCCAGGACCATTCTGGCCTTGGCCTCGCCGAGCAGACCGCCAGTCAGACCGGCAACTAGTGCCAGTGTTGGTGATGGCTTGTACATATGCCGTGGAAAAGCCAAAGGATAAAAAGCTCCTACATCTTATTTTTCAAAAGAGACTAAGGCCAGTAGAAGCCTGAGTCCCACTGCCTTTCCATTAGTCGTAGGCTCCTAAGGGACAGATTTTAAAAGCTATTTAGGTACCTAGCTCAACGGAAGCATGGTGCCTAGGTGCTTTTGTAAATCCCACTAAGTACCTTTACAGATCTGGTCCTTAGTCACTTTAGGATTAGATTTTCAAAGACATTTAGGTGTCTAAAGATGCATTAGGCATCTGGTGGAACTTGCAAATCTGACCAGAAAATCAATGGGAGTGAAGTGCCTAACCTGCTTTGGCATTTTTTAAAATCACAGTAGGTGCCTATCTGCATTTTTAGGCATCTAAATACCTTTGAAAATCTGGCCTTCGGCTCCTAAGTCACTTAGGTGCTTTTGAAAATTGTACCCAAGGTCTATTGTATGCAGATT